CCTTTTCAGAACATGGTTTTAACGTAGCCGTGTGTTCAGAAGAGCCCCTAGAGAGTCTTGTTTTGGAACACTCTGACGCCTACACATTATTATCTTTGCTACGTTTTGCAGTTTTGTGTGAAATTTATTTTTAATCTTTAACAAAACATGCCCCTGTTTATCTTAAATTCAGAAAAGGTTTAATAATTTAAAACAAAATAACTTTTTAAATAATTAGATTTACAATGAATGCCAAAACATAAAAGTATAAAGCAAGTTAACAAGAAAGGACTTCTTAAAGATCAAAGAAAATGTGTTTATTTGATTTGATTAAAAACAAATAAAAAGTACTTTCACTTTAACAGGTTATAACTGGCTGTTGACAGAAACCAGTGAAAGAGTTTCCCAGTCCCACAGGATAAAGGTTTTCTTCTGATAGAGGTTCACGTACTCAGAACAGATTGCCCACTGATACGTCAAAGGAATTATATTTTGAAAAGTGACAAAGCTGCATCAATACTAAAAACCGTGGATACAAAGGCAAGTTTCCTTGGACAACATACTCCTTTTGCTATTACTAAGTAGGACTATTGGTGTAAATCAATGGGTATTTCTATCTTCCTTCTCTCTATACACAGAAAAGCTCTGGGAATGGGAGAGGTAAAAAGTACCATTTAATTGAGTGGAAAGGCAGGGTATATTAGCTCAAAACCTGCTTTAACGTAGCAGTAGACTTCCCAGAAGAGAGCTGGCTTGTGTAGACCACCTCCTCCATGGGCAGAGGAGGCCGGTACGTGGCAGCCTTTGCCCTGCCAGCCATGCTGTGCCTCCGTCATGACAAGTTTCGAGTCCACCGAGGAAGTCTCTCCCGAAGGCTTCAGTGGGAAACGTACAGACCTCTCCTGAAATGATGCCATGCTAGGATCCAGGCAAGAAAACGCTAAGTAATTGAAACAGGAATTTGCTTTAAGTCAGACTGTCTAAAACTTTGTTTAATGAGGTTTTATGTTTGTTAATACCAAATTAACTGCTAAAAGAGCATTTGAAACAGTATGAGTTTTTTTAAAGAGTAAACACTTTCCTCATTTCGAAAAGATAAAAGAATCCATGGTCTAAAGATTGCTTGAAACCTCAGTGAAGTCCCCCACGTAAACCAAAAAGACCAGACTTGACATTCCAAAAATGCTGAGGTAAAAAACATCCGGAAAATATTTAAAACATTCATGCATTTAAGACCTTCTCTACACAAAATGATGAAAAAAATCATTCTGGAAAAAAAAATAATTTGCAGGTTATCTTTAAAAGCAACATGTGAAAGTCATCATCCTAACTTTACAGAAGTAATCATTTTAGAGGAGCGCTAGTTATTTTCACACTAATTTTAGAGCATCCACATACTCTTAAAAGAGCGTCCACACACAAGAATGGCCTCTTTAGCAACCGCAGTCACTGCATCTCACTTCCCACCCTGTTGCCATCAGCCTGGAAGATGCCTTCAGACAGACTATCCAGACCTGCATCCCTGGCAGGCAGGCAGGCTTCAGCACACAGGGCCCTGCGTGCCAGGGCTGCTGCACCTGGGGCTGTGCCTGTGGGCTCCCGTCCGCCCTCCGGCGAGCCCGGTGCTGGGGCAGCCTTGATACCATCTGCCACAGAGAGGGCAGCCATAGCTACTGCTTCTGAGCAGTCAGAGCACTCATCGCTCACCACATGCCCTCGTTTCTGATCAAAGGTTTGGTCAGCCCAACAGTTGCTCACATAACTCCTATTAACTTGCAGCGGGGTTGCAGAGAGGAATGAGATACTACTCCAGTCATCCACCGTTGAGATACTCACTGTAAAATCATTAAAACAAAGCTGGTTGTGAAAGAAATCAAGCCTTGCTCCAATTTAAAATACTTAGTAATTTGATGAGAACATGTGTGTGTGATTTGTGTTTATGTCTAGAAGTTTTCCCTAGCGTGAAAGGCTTTAAAGGAAAACCAGATCTTTCTTGCAATGCATGTTCTTTTATGTTATGCAGCCTAGACTGTGGATTGCAGTGATGTCAAAAATGTACATGGAGTGATTGCACCCTGTGTCCTGCAAGAATGACTTTGAAAGTTAGATGTTTCATCTCTACAGTCATATCCTGATCAACAAACTCAGTCAATAAATAAATACATTTAGTGACAAACCTAGCTTTTTCTGTAAGCTGCAGTTAAACAGGAACTTCATTTGTTTTTTGTATTCACGTCTATTCTATAATAATGAATCCAGCACCACAATATCCGAGTACCCATTATAAGATCAGAGAAACCTTTGTGGTACCCGTTTTCCTAAAAGTGGTTTAACAAAACCCAGTCCTCCATTCTCATTCTTTTGAAGTCTTTGCTTTAAGCCTGAATACAAAGGGCCACAACTTTGTTTGAGAATGTTTTTTTTTTTAAAGTGGTGAACTGATTTTGCCCAAGAAAGAGGAAACAGAGTATAAAGCCTATGATTTTTTCAGTAATTTTTTTCCAAAGCTGATTGTGCCATTAAAACATATGCAAAATTCCGATTTAAACATCATTTTTTGTGCAGGATGTGGTGTTTAATTGTCACGTATGACATTTGTAGCAGCAGGGCAATTTGGGGCAAAATCTTAAAGGGTTGAATGTGCTACAGGTCTCAGAAGAAATATGTAAAGACACACATCTGGAGCGATGCATCGAAATCTGTGGAAAACTTTCTCATGATTGTCAGAAAGTCTTTCAAAGTTCTTTAAGCGTAAGCTAACATTAAATCCGTTACCATACTGTTATTGTGGCTATTAATACCTGCCTACTAACACAGCAGCTTTTATCCACCGTTCTCAAAACTCATTTCCAAAGATTAACCTGCTGCAGGCCCGTCCCTGTCAGTGACTGACTGAAGGCCAGGGCCCCGAGGGCAGCCCGAGGTCCCTGGTAGAGCAGCGCACCCCAACACCTCTCGCCCGCACGGCGCTGCCCAGGGAGGCGCTGGGGCTGGCCCAGCGCCCGGGGCCGTGCGTACCTCAGCAACCATCGCTGCCTCCTTTTTCTACCTCAGGCTGTCAGTGCTGTGACGCTGTTGGGGTCACGCGAGCTCTCTGCTTTTGCTGCCTGCAGGCAGCAGGATGGGTTTGACCAAGAAAAGCACTCCCCACCCGACACGGCAACATGGCCGCCCCGGGCACTGTGGGAAGCCATTGGTCAACTCCAGCTCCTGCCTGGGGCCAGGGTGGTAACAAAACAGCTGGGGTTTGCCGGCACGTGGGAACAGTGCGGCCAGTCTACGAGCAACAGCCCTGGAAGCAGGCGAGCCA